CAGCACAGCAGCACAGCAGCACAGCAGCACAGCAGCACAGCAACAGAACAGGGGAGGCAAGAGCGAGATAGACACAGGGTCAGACCAATGGCGAGGCGTCCCACGCGCGAGGGGAGGGCCAAAGGGCGGGAGCAGCACGACAGAGCGAGAAGGACCAACACACGCACGGCCGGGTTGACGGGCGAGCCGGAGTTCATCAGCGGAATGACCGTCGACAGGAGCTGATGCAGGTAGAGCAGGTACCGGAAGCAGGTCTGCAGCTCCGGGGTCAGAGCATGGTGGTCGAAGCCCGGTGACCGGGGGTCCAGGCTGGCACGCGCCATGCCGGTCAGCTGGTTCACCCCATCCAGCACAGCCTGCAGGGAGTCCAGGAAGAACTGGATCTCCGTGGTCAGGGGCTGGGGCCGAGCGGTGGCCGTGGCAAACTGCTGGAGGAAGGCCGGCGATCCGAGCTGCGAAGCCAGCGAAACCGCCGCATGTGTCGACGCGAAGAGGCACTGCACGAATTCCGGCAGGGAGAAGGTGATGGCCGTCGACGAGGGGGACCGGCCGGCGTCCGGGCCGCGGCGCGAGCGCCGACCGGCCGAGCTGTCCCCCTCGTCCGGAGGAGGGGGGGCCTGTCGCCCGGCGCCCGGGCGCATGCCGAAGCGCAGGGCCGCCCGGGCCACCTGCCCGCTGGTGGGCACGCGCCGGGCCCCGGGGGCATGGTACCCGAGCGGCAGGTCGTCGGTGGCCTGTGCGCTGGCACGACGGGCCGGCCGCCGCCGGGCGAAGATGCTGTTCCAGTGGCCCCGGTCGGCCCCCCGGGCCGGGGGGGAGGTGGCCCGGCCGCCACGCTGGCGGTGGGGATGGTGGTGGTGGTGGTGGTGGTGGTAGAAAGGCAGGATCGGGGAGGCCGAGTCGTCGTCCTCGGTGCCGGACCCGGCATGCTGCGGGTGATTCGGCCCGGGGGGGATGGCACTGGCCAGGGTGTCCAGGATGATGGTCAGCGGGTTGATGGTGGGGGTGGGGTGGCTGGCCGGGGCATCGGGGTTGGCCTCGCGCGGGCTGTCGCCGTCGCTGCGAGTGCCGCGAGTGCGCCCCCCGGAGGGGGCAGAGCCGGCGTCGTCGCTGCCGCTGTCGGCATCGCTGCCGGGGCGGGCGGTGGCGCTGGGCGTCGCGGAGGCGGGCCGGTCACCCGTGCCAGGCCGACCGGCTTCGTGGCCGCCGGCGCCCGAGCCAGGCCGGGCACCGCCTCCGGCGGCCGCCGAGAAGGCCTGCTGCAGCATCGGCCCGAGGAGGCCGCCGAGGCCACCGCGAGCGTCAGCCGGGTTGTTCTTCATGGCGGCGTTGTGTCAGGCCGGGAGGGGGGGGGGGGGGGGGGGGGGGGGGGGGGGGGGGGGGGGGGGGGGGGGGGGGGGGGGGGGGGGGGGTGTCGCTCGGGGAGTCAGAGAAGGCCATGCCTCTTTCATGGGTGTGCACGCATGTCCATGTGTGTGTGTGTGTGTGTCTGGGCGCGTGCATCGGCATGCAAGCCCACGCGGCGTACCAGGTCCACGTCGAAGTGGAAAATGGTGGCCATGCCGTTCTGCAGCGGGTGGGTGGTGGGATTGCCCGGGGTCGTGCCGCCGGCGTCGGCAGAGGCACCGGCGGCCTGGGTGCCGGATGCGGGGCCGGGCCGGCCCCCGGCCGCGGTGGCCGGCGGGCTCGGCCGGCCGCCCGCCGCCTGGGGCCGGAACACCGGCACCCGGCCGGGCAGACTGCCGAAGGGCAAATACAGCGGGAAGGGCTGGAAGGTGAAGGTATGCACCGGGGTGCCGCCGCGAGGGGCATCCGCGCCATCGGTACCGGCGCCCGGCCGGCGCGATGCCGAATCGCGCTCCTGCTGCTGGCGCTGCTCCTGCTGGGCCGAGCTGGCGGCCTCGGCCGGCGACACCGGCGGCGGCTGGTTTGTCCGCGACACCAGGTGCACGGTCACCCCGTCGGTGATGCTGTAATCGTCCAGCGTGCGCGTCGGCAGGAGGACGCGCCCGCGAAAGATCAGCCGCTGTGTGGCCACCGGCTGGCCGGTTTCCTCCAGCACACGCTGGTGCAGGTCGGACACGAGGGACTGTCGGGCGGGCGGAGAAGGGGGGGGGGGGGGGGGGGGGGGG